TTATGTTCTTACTGATATGGTGGCTATTTATTATAATCTTGCATCTTGATTTTCTCTGATTTATTACTCTTTCTAAACGGATAAATGTTGTTTCCTCAGTAACATTTAGTCGGTTAGAGCCTGGAGAGATGTTAGTCATGGGTTTCCGAAAGGCTGCACCTACCTCAACATCCGAGCTAGTTAGTCTTGCACTATGATTTACAGTTCTGATTGTGCACCTGTATGTTCCAGATCTAAGATAACATGCAATAGAACTAGTTGTACAAGTGATTTGGTTCCCATTGTTGTTAATTTCATCTGATGAGGATGCATTTATGCTTCAATCATGGTATAACATTATAACCGTTGTCCTTTCTAAAATCCAGATTTACATACATTTATGTGTTTTTGTTGGCAGGACAGTGAAGCTAAAAATAGTAATGGAGTTTCCATGCATGGAGATGTTAGTGTCACAAAACCTAAAACTAGTGATATTATTGAGTATTAATTCTTTAAAAGATAGCTCATGTTCACCTAGCTTTTTGTCAATCAATCAGGCTGATCTGGCGGATCCAACCTCATTTTCAAAATTTGACAAGTCAGGACACATAGCAAAGGAGCCATCAGGAACCAAACCAGCAGTTTCCAGAAAGAAGAAAAATAGCAGTCTGGGTTCAAAAAGTAAGCACCGAAGAGTCGATAATGAAGACCTCATAGAGCTGAAAATAACATGGGAAGAAGCTCATGGGCTACTGCGCCCCCCTGCTAATCATGTGCCCAGTGTTGTAGTGATTGAAGGTGTTGAGTTTGAAGAATATGAGGTATGCCATCTATTGATTTAATTTGTTTGTTTTTTATCTGTTGTGATTGAAACATCTTTTGGTTGTAAGTAGCTGCAGTGGAAGCCTTCTACTTCTAAGTGTGGTGATTTTTTACAGTCAATACACACTTGATGGACCCATATAGGTTGCTCAGGAACCTTTATGTTGTTACTTGTTCATGAATACTGCCACAGGCTCAGATTAATCTATTGTTAAAGATTTGATTCCATTTTTATCACACTGTGCAGTTTCATTTTGCTAGAGTACAAGAGTTCATTATTTTTGGTTGCCTATTGATATAAATTGTTACTTGCATATTCAATAAAGTTTATTCTTTCTTGGGGATTCACTTTTTTTTTCTTAGTTGTTCCAAAATTTCTTATTTTTGTTGTGTTCTTTTATTACAGGATGCTCCTATTCTTGGGAGGCCAACAATATTTGCATCAGATAATTGGGGGTAGATCACTCTCTTTTGGATGCTCTGGCTTATGTTAAAGAAAAAACAATCAATTTAGTACTTAATACTTGGCTTTGATTTGGATCATTTTGTGGATTTATTGAGATCTCTACCCATCCTTCACGATGTTGAAATATTCTGCTGTAATAACGGTTTCTTAGGAGGTTAATTCAAATTTGTACAGTCAAATTGAAAGTGAAATCCGAACATCTTTTACTTTGTTATCTTGTCTTATAGATGGCAATAATTTTCTTGAACCAAGCAAATCCCGATGTGTTCCTCTTGTCAGGGATAAGATTTAGTGGGCTCAATGTGAAGATTGTTTTAAGTGGCAGATTGCCTTCCACTGCTCTTCTTCCTTACAGATGGACCTGTTCCAGTAACTCATGGGATCCAGAAAGGTAAGCACTAATTCATGCATTCCCCCCCCCCCCCATTTTGCTAATGCCGACCCTGTAAAAAAATTGAAAAACACAAAAATTAGTTTTTGCATGAGCACGTTTTTTCTGTTTTCCATGTTGACAGATCTTTATGTTCAGCCGCTCAAGAACTGACAGCAGAACAGCTGGAAGATCTGTTGCCGCACTGTTATCCAGGTAAATACTGCTTACATTTTGTATGACTTACCTGGAACAAAGTAAGTGAATTTGAATTCTTGACAGTTGATTTCTGTGTAAAATTCAGATTCTTTTATTTCGTTTCATTTCCTAGTGTGACCAGCAAATCGGTTTTTGCGATTGTGATTGACAGCTGCTTCTAAGAAAACGAAGGCTGCTAACCGGGATTCACAAAATATAGATGCTTTAGAGGGGTTGGACACTCTTGCCAACCTAGCTGTCTCATAAGAGGGCAAGGCTTTCCCTGCTTCATCTCAAGCCACCACAAAGCATCCCCAGCATAGACCTGGTTGCTCGTGCATTGTATGCATTCAGCCCCCGAGTGGGAAGGGCCCCAAACACAAGCAGACATGTACTTGTAATGTTTGTCAAACAATCAAGAGACGCTTCCGCACCCACACGCTGCGCCGTGAGAAGAAACAGACACAAAAAGAAGCAGAAACTACATGCAAGAAACAGAAGCAACCTTCATTGCCTGATAAAGAATTAGATGCTGATCCTCTCCCCTACACTAATGCAGGGAATACCGGTCCAAGCCCCAAAAAGGTTGTCATTGAGGGTTCAGAAGATGATCTGAACAGAGTAAAATCCTCAAATTCATCTTTTAAAGGCTAAATCGACTTGAATATCCAACCTGAGCGAGAAGGAGAGCTGTCATCTGGTTCGGATTCAAGCAACACGATGAGATTGCTTCAAGATACCACCGAGAGATACGATAGGCAGCAAAGTATGTTGAACTTTAGTGGCAATACTAATCCAGAACTCACCCAGATACTCCCTGGTAATGGCTTAGAAGAAGGAAAAACCAGTAACAGTATTAGTCTTGGGGCCAGTCATCGAGATATTGAAGGGGACCATTCAGCAGTTCTCTCTATCAAAACATCTACACCCACATCAGCAACCGATTAAGCTCAATGCACTATTGTGTCAAGGGCGTTATGGATTAGGTTATGCATCTTCATCAGCATTTCTTCATGGCTGTATATAAAAAAGGACTAGGGTAGAAGTTCACAATTATAGTGGAATTGTAACCGACTGTTGCTGGTTTGTTTTGTTATAGTGTTAGGTCAGCTGTTATATTGAGCAGTCTATATAAATAGCTTAGTGGATCATGATGATGAAGCAGTCGCACTTTATTCATAAATAGCTTTAGGGTTTTTTCACTTCCGTCCTCCAGTTGGATCGAGCCTTGTAGTTTTCTGTGTGGAGCTCACCCACTACATTTAGAGGAGACTTGAGGATATGCATTTTCTTTCAATTGAAAACAGTGGGGGTGTAGCTTCGTGTTGCACAATCGTAGCAACCTTTTGCGTTACAAATGGGTTTTCTCTAACCATCGTTGTTAGACAATCAAGTATTGTGTGATCTCTTTAGAAAACATGATCAAATTTATCTTACTAATAATGATTTAGTCATATCAATCATGATGGTAAATTTCAATAATTATTTAAATGTCTTATAAAATTTCATTGTCGGTTTCCATCACAAATTCTCAATCCTCTTGTAATTCAATGTCCAAGCACGTACCGTCCACAATTCTATCGTGAACACTGAACATATGTCCATATCTTACCTCTTTTTAGCTTTGGGTGATTGATTAATGGATAGGAGCAGGTCAACCATTGGAGGACGAGAGGATGTCAAACCAAGTAAATGGTCTTTTCTATTTTTAGATTAACTGTTTCTCATCTCTCTTTTTCTTACAAAAATAAGGTAAATTATACTTTGTTTTGTTTCCCTTCGATTTATGAAAGTTTTCTTCTCCTGTCTTCCTCCTATATTGCTAATTACTACTAGTTAGTTAGCAGTCCATGTAGAGGAAGATAGCCCTAAACCAAACCAAAACATATTCAATACAAATAAGATTTTTAGATTTGTCCATTGCCACCAACATCAACTCTTTTCATTATATTTCTCTGTAATTCATTGAGAATTTGAGCCAAAATGAACGATTTAATTTCGAGTTCGTTCAAGAAATACACGGACCTGAAACAACAGGCTTACATGGACGACCTGGAAGCCGGAACCGAGACTGTTAACCTCGACAAATTCTTTGAGGATGTCGAGAATGTTAAAGAAGACATGAAAACCATAGAGACGCTTTACAAGGCATTACAAGAAGCCAACGAGGAATGCAAAACGGCACACAATGCCAAGACCATGAAACAGCTACGCTCTCGAATGGACGCTGATGTCGAACAGGTTCTCAAAAGAGTGAAAGTCATCAAAGGGAAGCTCGAAGCTCTGGAAAAATCCAATGCCGCTGCCCGTAGCACTCCGGGTTGTGGACCTGGATCATCCTCTGACAGGACCCGAACCTCGGTCGTTAGCGGGTTGGGGAAGAAACTGAAGACGATGATGGATGATTTCCAAGGTTTTAGAGCAAGGATGCAAGCGGAGTACAAAGAAACCGTCGAACGACGCTATTTCACCATCACTGGACAAAAACCCGACGAAGACACTATCGAGAATTTGATCTCAAGCGGCGAGAGCGAGAGCTTCCTCCAAAGGGCAATCCAGGAGCAAGGGAGGGGTCAAATTATGGACACCATTTCCGAGATTCAAGAACGACATGACGCCGTTAAGGAGATCGAAAAGAACTTGCTCGAGCTTCATCAGATATTCCTGGACATGGCTGCGCTCGTTGAAGCTCAGGGTCACCAACTGAACGATATCGAAAGCAACGTTGCACATGCAAGCTCCTTTGTGAGACGAGGGACAGAGCAGCTTCAAGAGGCGAGGGAACAACAAAAGAGCTCAAGGAAATGGACGTGCTATGCCATCATTGCTGCCATTATCTTGATTATAGTAATCCTCCTGCCGCTGCTGCCGACGATCATAACTCTGCTTAAGCACAAATAGGGATGGTAATGATATGAACCTTGCGATTCGGATATTTGTTTTGATGACCACTCAAGATTTTCTCTCCTGAATTCTTATAAGGTTCGGATTCGGATAAGTATTTGTATTGATTCAGATCGATCTCAGATATCCATTATTCTAATATCTGTATATATTATCTGAATTCATTTAATTTTTGTAAATAATCAATTCGGATATTTGATTCGATTTTGATTTCTTACATTTAAGATATTGCAATGTATTTATATTATACGAGAAGAGATTTCAAGGAACTGACATTTCATTGAATTTTATAGCCGAAGAGTAGATTTGCATTGAGACATGCTTACATGCATTTTTAACAGAAAAGATGACGAACGTCGCCATATTGAATTAAAGAATGGCAAGGGAATTTACCAGGAAATCCAGAAACATAGGAGATTAACGTCTCTTCTTCATCCATCTTCGAGATACACGGCCCAATACGGACATGGCCATGACAAAATGGCCTTTATAAGTGATTTCGGCTTGACCACATTTTTCATGTTTAGGTGGTAGACGATTTATATAGCTGCCTTCATCGTCATTCTTGAAGAACTAGATTCAATTCCTGTGCACATCTCGCAACCGTGCCACCTCTCCTGTAGGGACCACAAAGGAAAAAGATACTGATTTAAGGATTGTTATCCGGTTTTCAAAGGATGTAAGCACCGTGATTTGTACATCGTCGTTAAGAATATCGAGTTACTATTGGGATGTCGGCCTGCAATTACTCTTAAGAGCGGATTACCTTACAAGGGCTGGAAGAAGATTTTGAATCTTTTGCAGCTGCATATAACACTGACTGCAGCATTCTCGCCTGCGTTTGAATTTCAAAAGACGATTAGTCCATACTCATTGTGGCTTCATCAAACAGATAAAAATAGCTAAAGGAACCAAAAGGCAGAACCTCTGCTCGGCATGAAGATCAACACCGACACCACGCGGGGCTGAAACAGTTGAGCGTATCATTGGACCAAAAACTGCTACGAGACATGTACATGCCTGTATATTCGTATCGCAATCCAGAACTCCGTATGAGCATCACAAGTAGAAATGCAAATTGTCTAAATGTGGGGGAAAAAAACCCGAATAACACCTGCGTGCCTAAATCAAGTTTCATGCAGAGTTTTTGAAAGAACCGACACTTCAAATTTTCCGAAATTACCTTTCCATTTTGCTATCTAATAAGCCGATAAGCACGGGAAGCAGAACGGAAAACAGATCTAAGGTGAGAATCTCCATTTTTTCCATGAAAACACCGATCACATCGGCTTGCACCTGCACCAGCAGTTATCAAGTCTAAGCAAGGGAGAATACTGGTGACATTATAAAGCAACACAAATGGAATGTTCCAATAAATACTCACAGAATGATCAGGCAGTTTCCGCACAGCACCAATAGAACCTTTAATGTCATTCTTTTCCCAAAAATGTCGCACTACCTACCAGTTACCACAAAAACAATTACAAAAGAAAACTAACATGTAAGAAGCAATTTCTATAAAATAAAAAACATGTAAGAAGCAAATATATAAACAGAAGTTCTAAAACATGCAATGACTACTATTCATCCACCAATTACATATATGAGCAGATAGTGAAGCTTACCTGTAACTTTGTCAAGCGTGACCGGAGAGTACTTAAGAATACATCATGCGTTTGCATCAGACTTTCGGTTAGCTTTTCATCATTAGCAGAGATTGATTCACCCTTTGAAATTTGGCTTTCGATAATTGTAACATTCCCATCATTACCAGAACTCAATGCCCCCATAGAAATTTGAATTTCAGTAACTAAACCAGTTGGTCTACTCATATCATTTCTAGAAAGTTTATTTCCTGAAATGATCCCAACAGAAATGGAAGTTGACTCACTTTGAGTGATTTGGTTTTTGGTAATGATCCCATCAGAAGCTGAGGTTGATTCCCTTCTAGAAATTAGATTTCCAGTAATGCTTCCACTAGATGCATAATTTGATCCCCTTCTAGAAATTTGATTTACAGTAACGATCCTATTAGATGCAACGGTCGATTCCTTTCGAGAACTTTGATTTCGAGCAGTCATCCTATCTGAGGTGAAAGTTGATTCCCTTCTAGAAATTCGATCTCCAGTAATTATCCTGTCAGAAGTAGGGGTTGTTTCCCTTCTAGGAATTGGACTTCCAGTAATGCCACCCTCGGAACCACAAGCTGATTCTGCTGTAGAAATTAGACTTTCAACAGGACTAATATCATTGGCCGACATAGGGTCCGTTTTAGATATTTGTGTTCCTCCTTTCTGTCAGGTTAAAGCACAAGAAATAAATTTAATTCAATCACAAAAATGTAGAATCTCGTGACCATGAACATCTATATTACTTGGTCAGAAGTAGGGGTTGTTTCCCTTCTAGGAATTGGACTTCTAGTAATGCCACCCTCAGAGCCAGAAGCTGATTCCGTTGTAGAAATTAGACTTTCGACAGGACTTATATTATTGGCCGACATAGGGTCCGTTTTAGATATTTGTGTTCCTCCTTTCTGTCAGGTTAAAACACAAGAAATAAACTCAATTCAATCACAAAAATGCGGAATCTCGTGAACATGAAAATCTATATTACTTGGTCATGCAAAAACCGGAATTCGAAACTTCGAGAAAAGATACACTTAAGCTTACCCTTATGGATGGTGTTTTATCGACGAAAGTTGTCAGTCTCCATCATCCTTTGATCGGGCAAAAATTCAAGTCCTCACAAAGGCTGATGCGAGAATTGATGCGATGGTGGAATTGAAGGTTGCTGACAACTTCTTCAAGGTCATGGTGCATGAGATAAAACCTTCATTCAAACCAAACTCTTGAGCTCCTGAAGAAGACGAGTCTCATTAGATCTTGTCTCTTCAATTGTGGTTGTTTTAGTCTATATGGTTGTAGGTGTTGCTTTTAATTTGTATTATGTTCTGTTTTATTCCTACTGCTGGTGGTGTAATTAGAAGTAAGGTGATTTGACTATGGCTTTGGATGAGGTCATATGAGATTAAGGTGTTTGTTGTAATGATGTACATCATCATGAGAGGATATTCCGTGGTATCTTTTGTATCGGGTATTTTATCAATAATATTTGAGGTACTCTTTTCTTCCTTCCAATGTTCGTTAACATACCTTTAGTATGTGAACGAATACGAAGGGAGTTTTTAATGAGACCTCCAACTTCTATAAAAAAAAAATTAATTCAGTTTAATATATTAGAAGACTCGGAAAGGAAGAGCAAACCTCCATTCACAAATTTGAAAGAGTTCGAGTCTTTGTTGAGATTGAGGGATTCATTACCTTCACGTTTATATGTATCATCAGAGAAGAAGTCAAACTCGAAACTGACCAAGGAAACAAAGTGAATAAAATTATGGAAAAGAGGACTTACTGTCAACATAAATGTTCTTTATTTCCTTGGTCTCGTAATCAGGCGATAGGGGCCGTGATCCCAAAGTTGACCTCATGCCACTCCCAGCTTTCTCCAAAGAATAACTTCCCTCAAGATTAAATTTCTTCTCAGAACGTCCATTTCGGCCATATGGCTCAATATGCTAAGACGTGCACATGATGTAAGAAGAAAGTTAAGACCGATGTATTTTCACTCAAGTTCAAACCAGCACAACATAAAGGAAAAACAATGTCAGAAAACGATGATTGTAACTACCGCTAAGTCTGCTCCCCAAACTCCAATAGAATTTCTATAGTACGAACAACCCAGAAGTTTGCCTTCATTGATGCAGAGGTCACCAAGTGTTGACCACCCAATATCAGCAGAATCATGACAAACTACTGGCTCCCATGAATAAACCTACAATTATAACAACCGAAATTCAGAAGTTTGCTTTATCTTTTGGATAAGAATCAAGCAATTTTACAATGGAAGATTCAAACCTTCAAATCATTGTCTGATCCACAGAAAAGGGTTTTCCCATCAGTATGAAAGGTAATCGAGCGAACCCCCACAGCCTGAAAGGAAGCAACATAAACATTTTACATAAGCAAGATGGAGAAAGGTTTATTATCAATAAAGGCAGTCTTGTTTACTTTTTTTTCTTTTCATTTAAAGTGTGAATATGATTCTCATACTACGGACACAAGCTTATATACCTCCGGTCTTGAAGACCCAATCAGTTCAAAAGTTTCCAAATCCCAGAATTTTACCGTTCCATCCGTGGACCCTGGAATTTCAGTTGCATATCAATTAAGATATTCCCAAGAAAATGCTGTTTTCAAGAGGCATAAAGAGAGCAAACAATCCAGAAATATTGAGTACATGTCCACATATAATGAAAAAAGTAATAAAGATCAAAGCAGTGAAATTTGTTGCAAAACTAAAATGCATGAGATATGGACTGAAAAGTCATTCTCCTAAATCAATTCTTAAAACCGTAATGGAAAAGATTAAATCTTTGGAAGCAGGTTAAGGAATTCTATAATTAACCAAGATGGCAATGGCAAGCAATATAGAAAATGAAATGCAACTACGACAAACTCACCGACTCATAATGAAATCTTACCTGTAGCAAGGAGAAACTCAAGAGGATGGAAGTCTAAGGAGGAAATATGCCCTTCGTGAAACTTAAACTCATTCAAGAGTTTTCCAGCGGTAAGATCCCACATCTGTTAGCAGTGACAGGATAAAACAATAAGACAAATATAACCGGTGGCTCATTTCATACAGATGATGGTGCAACCTCTAATTACCTTTACAACATTATCAAATCCACCAGAAGCCACCCAGCGGTCATCAGGAGTGAATCTAATCGTGCTAATGCCTCGAGTATGACCCTTATATGTGTGAGTGCATCCTTTTTTTCTGATATCCCATATCTTTAGATTTGTATCCATGGAACCAGATGCAAAAAACTCACCAAATGGATGGAACTCCAAAGCAGTGCAATTAGATCTGTGTCCAATAAGTCCGCGAACCACTACACTTCAAGAACAACATCAAGCATTTTACAATTCACTATAGTACAATCATTGTATTGCTATGTGGTAGCAGGTTTCCCCTGAATCTTCGGATTATGTTTTGCCGAGGAGAAATCGAAAACTTACTCTTTGTTTCTTCGAGATCCCAAAGCTTTATCACACCCGAAGATGCACCAGCAAGCACCAAGACTTCAGCCAAATCAAAAGCTAAAGATTCGACCGGACTAGTATGACCACAAAGACTCTGCACATTATCACGTAAGGATAGACCATTATACTTGTATTCAATATCCCACAATACCATTATCTTATTGGCATCAAAATTGCAAATTCAGAGGACAAAAGCAATCACTGCGTCGTTAGAGAAATCATTTGAAGGCTAAACTTGGAAAGAATCCAAGTATTAGAGAGAAACTTACTTGAATGTAAACCACTTGCCTTTTTTTGAAGTTTCTTTTAATTAATTTAATATAATTATAATATAATATATGTTCAAATATTTTTAATAATTCAATAATAAATATTCAAATAATAAATATCATCTTTAAACTCAAAACTTATAAAAATAACAATTATCCTTCTAACACTAACCTAAGTCGGTTCATATACTTTTTTTTTTCTTACCATACCAAGATGCGCTGGATTTTATTTTCCCTGTCGGACTAGTATAATTACTTAGCTGCCCTTTGTTTTCTACGTGTTCACGTGTCGGCTCGGTCCCCTTCTTAAGCCTCGGGATTTAGGTTTTCTCGTCTTTCTCCAAAAAAAAAAAAATTCCTCTCTAATTTTCCTCTAGACAAAACCAGATTTGTTGATTTTACAAATTTCCTCATACTTGGGGAGTGATGTTTTGTAATAATACCCAAGAAAGACCAAATTACGAAATTTCTTAAAATTAATTAGTGTTGCTAATGAGAAGGATAATTATTACTAATCCTCATAAAAGAATGAAACGATTAAATTAGTAAATGCTACTTTTGGGGTCATATGATAAGGGGAAATGGTGCCAATTAAGTCTTATCTATGAGCACCATCAAAGTAAACTTTAAACTCTATTAAATATTTGATTACACTAAATAAAGGTCTTAAAGTTCCTAATGCAATTTGTATTTATAAAGCAATAAGCCGTTAATAGTTGAAGGAATAAATAGTAGAAACTCATCAAAAATTTGTGATTACCTTCATCTTAAATTCATGCGGGTCTCTAGTTATGCTTTTAGATTTCGTATTCTTTACATACTTGAAATTGTCTTTTTATTTTTAATCCTATAAATTTAGTCATTCTATTATTTCGAGTTAATAATTTATTTAATTTCTCTATTTGATAACTTAATTTATTCAAAAAAAAATTATTTAAGAATTCAATTGAATGCATAAAAAATTAAGGGTATTGTTGATTATTTTAAATATTTGAGGACTTCCCACACCCACTTTTTTCTTTAAAAAAAAGGTTACTTATGTGATCAATGCTACACACGTGCAAGATCAAATAAGCAAATAAAAAAGTAGAAGTATTGAATCCGTGTTAGCAAGGTTTGGATTCTAACATTGAGCTTGTAAGGTTGTCCAACACTATTTCAAAGAATCATTGGTTTTTCTATACATGTTTTTGCTTTAATGTGTGAAATGGAATCCACATTCATGAGACAAATGCACGATCAAGAACTGTACAAGGGCACTGGCTTCATCTAACAACAAAGTCTAAAATCCAACAAATTTGGAGCTATACTCTTCCATATAACCAGTCCAACTGCGGGTCATCGAGTCTGGCGCTCCAGAGATTGTTTATCCTAGTATAGGCAGCCCTTTCTTCCAGTTGAATCTGAGCCCACATCGGCATCTTTAGAGCCATCAAGCCTTGGGGGTCTGAATTCCAGTAATCAAACAGGGACATACCCAAAAAAAAAGCTAGAAATGAAAATCAATACCAACCAATCAAACCTTTTCCAAGATTCTGGCAGCTGAGAATGGCTACATTCGCATCGCTCGCTAACTTAAGGCACCGTGATTCGTCCATAAGCCTCCCTTCCGGACAGTTTGAAACGTCTTCGAAAGCCAGGAGTGAAACAGTCCTCTCAATCTCCTCATAAAAGCTTCCCTGCAATTCGAAATTGTTACATACCGAGTATTATCTACAACTGATTACTGCAGGTTATACGTACACAATGTTAAGAAAATCGAGTTTAAACCAATAACCTTGTTGATCGCTTCCTCGAGGTTTCCACATAGTACAGCCCTTTTAACCGCCATGCGAGCCGTGATTGTTGCAGGATCAACAACAACTGTTCCACAATAAGGAACACAACTATTACTTTAAGAACCGTTAATAATAGAGCTCATGAGTAGGCATTTGTTGTCTTTGCAGGATACGCTCGGTTCCCGATTCCATTTGGAAAATTTCCGCTGCTTCGGCATAACCCTCGATAACAAGAAAATTCACCACCAATAAGATTACCGGAATATAAGATTACCGGCGGGAATATGATTATCGGCGGGAATAAAATTGCTGGAAATGTTGCATTTTTGTATTTGGATCGTTTACCAAGAATGTAAGATTACAGTATTAGGTCAAATGAATAAAAGATTATTTGAATGTATATTTTACCAAATTGTCCTTATTATATATTTGTTTTTTTAACAAGTTGAATTCTACTATATTTTACTAAATAATTTATATTTTCTTAAAAATTTTAATTTATATAATTTATATAAATTGTTTTTACAAAATTGAAAAGATAAATAGGTTTAATGAAAGGGTAAAATTTTATTTTAACCCCTAAACTTCATATAAAATTCTAAATATGAATTTTTTTGTAAATCTAAAATAGTTTAAGGATAAATTTGCAATTTAACGTTCGTAGAATTTTTTTATTCAATGACAGAACAATGATATTTTTGAAAGAAAAAAATTAAGGTCATTTTTGTCCAAAACGTCGGGAATGTAACAATACCTAAGAGCACATTCCTGTTAATAAGCCCAAAATACCACTGCTGGGAATAAATGATTACCGGAGGTGGAGAATGTTTGCAATCCAAACCGGTAATCCAAGATTACCTGAACCAAACGCCCCCAAGTATCTTACGCACACTTAAATGAAAAGAAACGCAGACAACTTGAAAGAACGAAAACACGAATAGCTAGTTGGTTTTCTTCTTTATCAAGGTTCAATATTTCATTGATCCAACCAACATCCCAACATAATCTAACAAAAAGAAATCTTTAAATGTAGATACAGGCATTGCTAGCTTGTAATTTACATCAGAGCTAAAGGCTAAACAACTTCAAATTCTTTAAAAATAAGAAAGAAATGATCAAATTATCCCCAAAATATCAAATAAAGATTCATAACAAAAGAGAAAGAGGTATCACTTGCGTTGGGATTTCAGATAGATGAAGAACCACGGAAAAAAGCATTAGTATCAGGACTCCGCTTCCACTCTCACTTGATTCCCCAAGCAATTCTGAAAACAGAATACCTTAGAGATCTGCATTTGGAATAACTGCAATGTGTAACGATGTTTACATGCAAATCTATTTATATCGGTTTGAAATGGATCGGATCAGTTTATAGGTTAATGGGCTTCAAGCCTTCAGCCCACATTGTTGACGCGTGAGATCTTTAGGCTGAAGGACTGTGTAAATTAGATTTGGGTAAAGTACACAGGAATTCACTGAACTAAATTCAAATAATTGTTTCGGCTACTGAAACTTTTAAAAGTTATAAAATAATCATTAAAGTGCTAAACTGTTATAAAATGATAATTGCAACGTTATATTAAGTGCAAAAGTTTGATAATTTTAATGATCATTTTATATTTATTTGGTTAAATTTAATGATCATTCTATAACAAAATGTTATGATAATTTTATAACATTTCCATAAACTTAATGATAACTTTATTTTTTTAAAGTTCAGTGATCAAAATTATCATTTGAGCATAGCTCAATGACCTATTGTACATTTTACCCATTATTTTTTTATTTGTAAATAGTAATGGTTAAATTTTTTATTATGTTAATCAAAATCATGAGTAATTATTCTTAATTGCTCCATTAAAATTTGACAAAAACTAAATTTTTTCTCTATTTTTGAATGTGACCAATTTGCCTAATTTTGAATTAGAAGATGCTTAAGAAATATTTGTACCATGAAAAAATTAATACATATTATATATATATGGCTTTAGTTATATGGAAAACATGAGAAATTAAGTTTGATAAGTTATTGAATTTTAGCAAACAGGACGATTGAATTGAATAATATATATATATATATATATATAAATTAAGGGGTTGTTTGTTTACTTCAGAATGATTAAGCGCTGAATGATTCAAATGCTGAATGATTCAGAGGCTCCGTATGAATTAACTCTGAATGTGACATGTTGTTTGATAATGGCTCTGAATCATTCAGAATGTACTTCTGTGTTAAATCTTCAGCACTAGCTGAATCAGTCAGATTTAGAATGAATTTGGTGAAGTAAAGAGTAAGAGTTGAGTTTAAGTAAAATATACTGTATATATAATTATAATAATCTAAAATATATATTTTTAATTATTCGTCATGAAAAATAGAGAAAACATTATTTATATCCAGATAGGTTGGGATATGTTTTTATAACAAAATTTAAGACATATTTTAGATGGATAGAACATTGTTAAACGTTAAGATGGATCGGACAGAATATAATCTTCAATTTATGAGTTGGATTAAAATAAAAGTAGAGAAATTAAAAATGATTATAGATTAAGTTAAACCTACTTGGAATATAAACATAAGAGTGACAATGATCCGACCTTCAATCAAATTACGTATACTACCTGTTGTTTAATCAAATACACTGAACAAAATCAAAGCTGGGAACTCCCTGCCTCGTAATTGATACAACACGATAAAAGCACAAATTGTTACCAATTAGCTAACTTCTTATAGACTAATTGGTCATTTGATCCTATTTGTCAACTACGAATATTCAATCATTGATTCCGTCCATGGATCAGAAATCTAACCCAAACTGCCATGGCTTCCCTTTTCCCATCTTCATCGTCCACCACCTCAACCACCATTCCCCCGTCGATCACCTCTTCGTTCTTTCCAAAAAGATCCCAACTTTCTAGAAAGAAACCCAAAGCATGGAGTCTCATTCAAAGCCATTAATGGAGACAAATTTGATCGAAGAGATGTCCTCATTGGCCTCGGTGGCCTTTACTATGGAGCAGCTACCCTCGGCGATGCAATGGCTGCACCGGTATCAGCACCAGAGTTCGAAAAATGTGGTCGTTCGGATGCACGTACCGGACCGATTGTTGTCCGCCGGTTTCGCGAAAGATTGTTGACTTTAAACCACCGTTGACGTCGAATTCACGGTTACGAGTCCGGCCAGCTGCGCATTTAGTCGACAACGAGTACGTGAGGAAATATTCCAAGGCGATCGAGCTTATGAAAGCTCTACCAGATGATGATCCACGTAACTTCATGCAACAAGCTAATGTTCATTGTGCTTATTGCGAAGGTGCTTATGATCAAGTGGGGTTCCCTAATCTTGAGCTCCAAGTTCATAATTCATGGCTTTTCTTCCCCTTCCACAGATATTATTTATACTTTTTCGAGAGAATTTTGGGTCATTTGATCGATGATCCGACGTTCGGTTTGCCATTTTGGAATTGGGATTCACCGGCCGGCATGCAAATGCTCCGTATGTATTCGGATACGAACTATAGCTTATACAATGAGCTACGAAACTCAAGGCATTATCCACCAACAATGGTGGACCTTGATTTCAATGGCAACGACGTAACAACAACAAACAAAATAATATTAGAATCATGTATAGACAAATGGTTTCAAATGGCAAAACGCCCAGTCTTTTCCTCGGTGGACCATTTCGAGCTGGCGAAGAGCCATATGGAGGTTCGGGTTCGGTCGAAAACGTGCCACATGTACCTGTTCATGTATGGTGTGGTGATGATAAGCAACCAAATGGTGAAGACATGGGAACATTTTACTCTGCGGCGAGAGATCCAATTTTCTACGCTCATCACTCGAACGTGGATCGGACATGGAGTATTTGGAAGACTATCGGAAACCGGAATCGAAAAGATTTCAACGACCAAGATTGGCTTACTCGTCGTTTCTTTTCTACGACGAGAATGCGAATATGGTTCGTCTTAAAGTCCGCGATTGCCTAGATCATCGACGCTTGGGTTATGTTTATCAATATGTTAAGATTCCAATGCTGAAAGCAAAACCAACGCCTTCCCGAAAGCTGCCATCAAAGGGAGGTTCAGGGATTGCATTAGCAGCAGAAATCAATGAACAAAAGCTTGTTTCCAGCAGTGAATCATTCCCAGTCGTTTTGGATAAAACCGTGAGGGTAAACGTGGAAAGGCCAAAGAAATCGAGGAGCAGAAAGGAAAAGGAAGAGGAAGAGGAAATACTGGTGCTTGACGTGGAGTTGGAGATTCGTTCGAGAAATTCGATGTTTATGTGAACGTGGAGGATGAAGTGAACATCGGACCCGATAACACTGAGTTTGCGGGGAGTTTTGTGAATGTCCCACACAAGCATAAACATGGCAAGACATTGAAGACATGTTTGAGATTAGGTTAAGTGATTTGTTGGAAGATTTGGGAGCTGAAGACGATGATAGTGTTATGCTTATTTTGGTGCCAAAATGTGTAAATGGTAATGTCAAGATTGATGGCATCAAGATTGAGTTTGATAACTAACCCCTTGCTATTTTCTAGGGAAATTTGTAGATTTTTCTTAGTTTTCCTACATGTTACCTATCGGAAATTCAATTAAAATTTCATATCAATTAATATAATTTCAAACAATGCCTTTTGTATATGTTGAATTAAATTTAAAACCTAACTATTTATTTAGGGATATGATCTACACTAGGTAAAACTATTTTAGTTTTATATAGATTTAGGACTGTTGGATGAGTGAAAATAAACAATTGAGATTAACAGCATGAAATGAGAATATATTCACTGGAAAAAACGAGTTAATCTCAATCATCTATTTTTCACTCATCCAATAGTCTAAATCTGTGTAAAACTAAAATAATTTTACATTGTGTAAGGATATCCTAATCATTTATGGATAGGATCCTAATACACGGTTTAAAACTCTTTCTGTTTTACACAAATTTAGAGCCTTTGGATGAGTGAAAATGGATGACTCAGATTCCATGGAAAATAAAACAATGATTTATTTTCCGCCATATATTTTCACTCATTTAACGGTCTTAAATTTATGTAAAACTAAAACAATTTTAATATAATTCTACAACGTTTTTAATTAATATTTAAAATAAATGTGACATGTGATAAAAAAATGTAAACTGTTAGTACAATTAAAATTAAATTATGAAAATTGATTTATATTTTATACACTAACAATGTATAAATTCATACATTATCAATTAATGAATAATTCTTAAAATATCAAAATAAATATAATTATAATATTTTTAGAAAGTGAAGTATTATAATTCTTTGCTAATGTGTAAGTGCATTTATTACATATTCTAATAAAAATGTTAATTTTATTAGACAAAGTGTAACGTTACTTGGTTCATTGTAATACCCAATTGGGAAGTCAAACTAATATTGTAAGAGCCAAATTATGATTTTGGTCCCTCTGTTATATTCAAATTAAAAATATAATACATATATGTTCATTTAACATTATTTTTACAATGCGAGGGAGAAAGCAAACTAAAGGGTCAATGGACTATAACAGAGATATGTGGTTCATTTCAATATAGTTTGCTGGCCGGACCAATCGCGTCCCTGTCGGCGGGTGCGGTCTGCATTCTGTGAAAACAAACTTCTAATAACCTAAAATGGAGGGCTTAGGCTGTACAAAATGTTTCATCAGTTATCATGGTATCCTGCACGATTCGATCACTTCACTCACAGCTTTATGAGTCTCTGGAGAAATCATGTTTAATGTCAAGTGAAACGCCTGCACAAAGAGAATCGAAAGCGTAACCGTTTACGGAATTGCATAAATATGTTCAGTTAGTTTCACGATTCAAAGGCCAAATTGAGTAAATTACTTTCCAGTCAATTGAAGGGCATATCAAGCAATGAAACCGAAATGATCACGACCATAAACCTTGTAGTTAAAATTTATTACTCGGACCCGGATGCAGGGATAGACGCATTATTTTATGCTAAGGGTGGATGTCTAAAATTTCAAGAAACGGAAAAAACAGATTATCGATAGAAAAATACAAAGAAAATCTCTAAAATATATCATAATTTGAAATTTTCAGGGGTGTCCGGCCTTCAGTCCATCCCCGCCCGGATGTAAACACCGAACATGGGTATGTTCATTCTTTTTCCAAGTTTTCATATATTTAAACAATGCAATGAGGGTTATATCTCAATACTAACGTTGCTGCTACTTCAATTATTTGATGGTATTTTTAAATAAAAAACATACCACAAATCTCTCCAACACAGGTACCAGAATCGACAAACTGCGATTCGGGAGACAATCAGCAATTGCATTTCGAGTGCTCTTACTGTCAATGACAAAGTAGGAAAAAAACAGTTTTAGTTATAAAGCATCGAAAGAAGTACTGGGAAAGATAAAAGAATACACCAACCTTTCTGTAGAAAGAAATGCAAGTAGTAAAGCTGCGTAGGCTTCTAAAATCATCTTCTCCGCTTCTTTCTCTCCTTGTAGCAAGGCATCTTCATTTTTCTGTATATTCAATAGAATGAATATTTAAGGCATGTCAAACATGATAAAATATTCAAACCCACTAGCATAAAAAAAACATAATATTCCGTGTCGTGAGGAGTGCAAGGAAAGAGGGGTTAGCAAGATGATGGGATAGAAGCGGATTCTGAATCATATATAGTCCTCACCCCAGGCAGAACTTCCCCAGCTTCATCATCTTCTCCTAGGTTTGCGAGGAAGATGGAACATAGCAATGGAATTACAGCCATACGACTCCCCTCTCTTGACCCTTTTGAATTTGGTAAAGAAACAGAAGCTGCTGCAAGCTGTGATCTGCATAGAAATGTGGCATGCAATTGTCATGTGCCAGTGGCCGTGTACCAAAAGGAAAAAGAAAAGACTAATAGCCCTTTTTGTAAGGCACTGCACTAAATACGAAAAAGGTAAACTAACCTGTTCTGTTCATCCTTCTCCACTAGGTTTACAAGCAGACCGAGTATGGCTACGAGAAAATCTAACTCCGGATCAGTAAGCGGTACGTCACTCTGGTCATCAAGATATACACTAAGAGAAGCCTCTTCCATTTTCCTGGCGCGAGGCAAATATGAGCAGAATAAAGGGAAATGGCTTGCAATCAATGTAGACAAGGTCTCCATGGCCCCAGAGGCAGCAATTTTTTGACAGCCAAGAGGGTTGTCATTCGTTAAATTCATCAAAACCTGGCAAAATAACACCCCGCTATTTGACATAAACTAGTGTAAGAGAAAACATATAGGATATCAAGATGTTTTACACACCAAATCCAGTTTTATTTTGTCTATCCGATTGCACAGGCCCATTCAATCCAACCAATAAATAATGAATGATTCAAGAAGCAGAATAAAGTATGATCAACCCACTGAAGCTTAAAAAAGCACTGCCAATGGTTAGATGAAACATATACTACGTATTCAATAATACCTTGATAGCAGCAAGAAGACAGTCTGAGATAAGGTTGGAATATTCTTCTTCGGTACTTTGAGAACCAGAAGCTGCCCTACAATGAAGATATTCTTCATTGCTAAATTCTATCTGGCAAATTTCCTCATTCCTAGGTTCTTGTTGGTTCATTGTAAACTGGTAATGATGCTCATCTTGGATTTTTCTATTTCTTAGCTCAAGTTTCTCATATCTTTTAGTTCGAGATATCTTTTTCCCCCCAGATAGTACATCCCACTTTGAGGGCACAAAATCATCTTCATCAAATGCAAAAGGATCTTGACTATCCTCTAAAAGTTGCTGTTTGTCATTTTTACTACGATCAGATCTCTCACAAAGAGTCTCTGATCCATTGCTTATTCCAGGTATTCCATCAAACAATCTAGATACAGAATGACCCAACCACAGAGTGGAGGTCCCTGGATCATTCTGGGATGTATTAAAGCTCTTTCCAGAGAAGGACCATTCCAAGCTGGAGGACTTTTCAGACGAACTGGTGGAGACAACATCATGTCTATCAACTGCAAAGTTAAAGAGAATCAATTAAGTCCGATGGTAGCCACTAGAAAGGTATATTTAATGATATCAGACTGCAAAATACCTTTACAGTCTGCAGTTAGAGCAAACTTATCAGCATCACTCATTGCCTGAGAACTACTGCAAGCCCTTTCAGTACCGGACGATGCAGAAATCTTGAGATAAATCCCTAAAAGCAATGACTTCGGTAAATCAGAATGCACGAAGTCTTTCAACAGATAAAGAGAACGAAAAAAGAAAAGATGTTTCGAAGTAGTAATTACAGTACCAGTTACCTGAGAGAATCTTGATTACACTTATAACGAGCTTCACAAAAGATATTCTAGATCCATAAGAATTCAATTTCCCTTTCATTTCCAACAGATGACTCTATGATCAAAGAAAAAAGAAAGTAATTAGAGTCTAGAAGCATTTTAAAATAATGAAAATAAAATACAAAACAAAACAACTCAAAATCATAATTAGTACCTGATTGTCGCTACTGAGGAAAGCAGCATTTTCCATGATTTTCAAACATTTTAAAAGCAGCACAAGGCTCTGCACATCCTTTTTATCTTCTATAAGAGGAGAAGATGAACTCTGCTCCACCCAACCCTGCAGAGAAGTTAACACATTATATTCTACACCACCAACAATGAATAATTTCAAACATATGTATAAAAATTTGCCAATTCCCGGTGAATGCTTCATTAATGTAAAACAGTGAAAATACAACTCTTATTTAAAGCAGCATTTATTAATCTCGTTCAATTGAAATGCAACAGAACCGAAATGAGATATAGCATACAAGTTCACACCTCCAAACCAGAATGGCACTCCATGGCCACTTCAAAGACAACATCAAGTCCTCCATACTCTCTTAGTTTCTCCTTCAAACTGCAGCCAGTTTTTCTTACCATGCCAGTTATATCTGAATGATCGAAACCAATGTTAAAAAGCACGAAAGCAGTCAGAAAATAGGCAGAAAAGTACCCAACTGTATGACTATGTATTATATGTACATATGTGGTTGTGTTCAGGTTTGAACTACCATTACAGTTCCAACATGACAGTTTATATATAAATGCTTAACTCCTGGATATTTCAAGAAGATACCTTCAAGAGAATTTTTTGACAAACAAGCTTTCTCTAAAATCAGCAAAGCTATCCATTTCTGGCTTAACTCAGGCCTTTTTAAATCACTACTGTCCCCACATATTGACTTCATTTCCTTGCAACTAACAAGAATTTCTTCAACTTTGGAAATAATGTCAGCAGAGCTTGAATTCAACACTTTAGTTGTATTCCGTGAGATGCCGACATCCTTGTGTAATGCCAAAAGCTTATAGCCTATTTTTCCTGTTTTGGTTTCTTTCGCCATGGGGATGACTGGCTTCAGCAATTTAAGTAGAAAGCGAATGCAACTAGGTGATTTCAGGAGACTCCCATCTTGACCCTGACATAATAAATTCATAGAAATATCGATCAACGTGTTCAAAACATTTGATTTACCTATATGAAAATAGTATTGGTGCAAACAAGTGAAAAAGAATATAGCTACAACTCCTAATCGAGATGCATAAATGAATTCTAATATATTCTTGCAACTTCAAGGGCTGAATAACTTACATCAGTAGTCAAGACGTAGAAAAGGGCAACAGCAGCAAGACTGCTTGGGGTGTCATCCAAGTTAAGACCCAAAATAGCATCAAGTATTGTCTTTGCCATTCTGAAATTAACATATTTGCAAAGCCAGAGTAAGGATTACAGAGTGGATCACAGTAATTCTACCACTCCAAAAGACAACATTACAATCATGCATATCCTTGGCCTAAAACAAGACAAAAGATACTCAAGGAAAACCACTCAATCTTTTATCCATAATTCCATATCATTCTTTTAGAAAGAGAATGAAGCAAGTATCCAACCAAAAAAACTTGATGAATAAATTCAGAAAGATAAACAAGCTGAACAGCTTGATCAGGGATGACCTTATATGCTAAAGTTCCTTACACTACCCTTTTTTATATGTTCCATGACATAGTTTACACTGTTTTTTTAAATTAAATTCATATCCTAAAATCCAAATTTCCAAACACTACTTTAGGTAGCGTTTGGAAACTTGGATTTCAAATTTTGGATTTGGATTTCAAATATAGTATAAATGAGTAGTAATATACTTTGAAATGTAACATTTGTGAGTATCTCTCAAAACCATGGATTTATTAGATGTCTAGTTAGTAGTGCATTTGAAATTCTTAATATAAATTTGGATTTGGTAATTCCATGTATCCATAATATTCAACTATAAATTATATTAAATCCTAACTATTTATCCATAATTTATGCATTTCATTCTTCCCATAACAAATGAAACCCAAATCTTTCTTTTCTCTTCAAAATCGTGTTTCCACACAACATTAAAGAATATATCCCTAAAAGCCTAAAACCACAAGTCAAAAACACCCTTTAATCCACGCAAATTTCATGCTACCAGCTACATTCAAAATTAAAAAATCCACACAAAATTAACAGTACCCAGATGCCCAAATCACTAAATTAGGGCAAACAAACCTCAGCAAGAATCCAAACATACCCCTGAGTTCTCAAAACTCTCCATCGCTGGGCCGTGCTACAAATCGAAAGCAAAGACAAGAGACTCGCTCTTCTGATCCTCACTGGTTGACCTTTCTTCAATCCATCAAGCGCGATATTAACCTCGTCAACGTGTTCCCCAAATTCCTGAGCTTCCATCAATGTCGAACTGGGCGAAATCCAGGGAACAGAAAAACCCCCTGCCTCTTTCTTGATCTGGTTTTGCTTCTGCTTCTTGGATCTCCTCAAGACGGAAATCACTTAGAGATGGATCAACGGCAGTTGTAGCGCGGTCCTTGTAAACGTTGTCGTTGAATTCTGGGGAGTAGGGCCAGAAGGAAGAGGACTCTTGAGTGGCGAAAGGGAAGCTGTAGATGTCCTCAGACGGTACCGTTTCTAGGGAAATTGTAGGAGAGTCGGAGTCGTCTAGGGAGCCGGAGAGGGTCCTGATTAAACCACGGTTGCGGCGGCCGTAGGTTCTAACGAACAGGTCCCTGGGCCGAATTCCTTTACGGTGACGTTAACTCAGCTGACATTGAATGAAGAAAAGGGTATTTTGGGCAAAGCCTGATACGACAGAGTTGGGAATTTTAGAGTTTGCAATTAAGAGCTTTCGTGGTGAGCTGAGAGAATAGTGAACAGAGAAATAATCCAGGGTAGAAAGCCGGAAAGTATAAATTATTTTGGTAAAAGTATCCTACAAGTCCCTATACTATAGTATATAATATACTTTGATGCTTGTTCTTTTAAAATGATTACAAAGATCCTATAGACTTAGTTCAACATTAAACTTCTAAATTATACCCTTTTCCTAGTTACATAAATAAATTATAATGGCTAACGTAAAGTTCTATTTTATGAACAAAGTATGCCTACATACATCTATAGTTCACTAAAAGGAAAAAAAACACTTGTACTACAGAAAAAATTAAGAACTAATAATATATGATTATTAGTGTTTAAGTCATGCACATCTCAAAAGTTGAGCAAATTCAATAATTCTGTCAAATTTCTTCTTAAGTTTAACTTCACTTATTTCGAATATATATATAAATCATTTCTAGCATTGGCTTTACGTCGTTTCCAACATAGAAATTGTACCAAATATTAGTTAGTTACATAGCTTTCTCAATGCGAACGTCATGTTTAAGGTTGATTATATAATTTTATCGTATTTAGTGTTGACCCTACGCACGAACAAAGTAAAAAAGTAAATCAATTGAAAGCCAAAATTTTATAGGGTAAACCACAAATTTAATACCTAAATTATTTTTTTTTAGTACTTAAACTTTTATTTATTTCAAGATCATACCAAACGTTTATTTTTTTATCCCGTTGCTATAAATTTAACGAAACTGTTTCACTGGCCATTTTATGGGTAAATTATATCATTCAACACTTAATTATCTTCTCACTCCTATTTTGGTCATTAAAGTTTAATTTTTTTTAATTTAACTACTCAACTTTCAAATTATTCATGTTTTAATCACTCTAATTTATTTTATTACAAAAATTTGACATGATAGTTTTTTTTTATTAAATAATTAAAATAAAAATAATTAAATTTGAAAGTTAGAGTGATTAAATTAGGAAAAATTTGAAAGTTAAGTAATTAAATTAAAAGTAAATAACTTCAACAACCAAAATATGAATGAGAAAATAGTTGAGTGATAATGATGTAATTTGCCCATAAAAATTGTCATGTTGTAACAGTTAAGGACGGTCATGGGACTCGAATCGATAGGGTCGGTTTTTTTAATTCGGGTTGAGTCGGATTTTTTAAAGGTGATGTTCGGTTCGGGTCGGATTCAGGTTTAGGGTGAAAATAACCAACCCGACCCAACTAGGGAAAAATATAATTTTACCTTATATATTTAGGAATAATTACAATAATACCCCCTTATATATATTATTTTTTTCAATTAAATCATTGTTTTTATTGAATAAAAATAATACTTTTTTATTATTTGGAGTCGATTCGGATTGGGTTCGGATTTTATCTCAAAAAAGCGGATCGAGTTTGGGTCAGGTTGGCCGAAACTCGACCCATGCCCATCCCTAGTAGCAGTTCCGTTAAGTTTTTAGCGACTAGATATCAAAACGAAACGAAATGTAAACATTAAGTATGGTTTTTAAAACAAATGAAAGTTGAGGTACTGAAACAAAACAAAACTAATAGCTTAAGTACTAAACGTATAGTTTACCCAATTTTATAATGGGTAAACTAGTTAATGGTTATTAATGTTTAGTAAGTCTTAGTTTTCTCTAATGAAATTTAAAATGTAACAAATTGATGATTGATAATATTGAGAAAAAGATTAATATTTAGTTTTACACCTTAACTATTGTTAAAATATCAAATAGATCTTTAGACAAAGATTTTATATCTAATTTACTCCCAAAATTTTTTAATTTCAGTAATAAATCGAGGAGATTTAAAAAAATGAAACCTAATGCATGGTCTAATAAGAATCTCTCTCTACAAATCATAGTATTGAAACCTTTGTGAGCTTTTGGAGTAACATTTCATTTCATTGATGAGACTACTATTTTTCAGGTACTCATCAACAAAGCATATTTCGAGGATGTCTATTCTTGAACCCCCTCTTCTCCAAGTTCCACAAAAGGTTTAGTCTTTGGTAGCATACCTTTCCATCATCTTACACAACTGCTCAAATTATCTGTACTGATGATAGCATGTCTGTAATGATTTCCACCCAAAAAATTACTGGAAAACTGCTAGTTATTCAACCCTGTTGAGGTCTTTTCATATATAACAATCTATGAATTTTAAACACTAAATCATTTGACTACTTAGATTGTATCAATCAAATCACATGCTACTAAAAAAAACAAGCAGAATATGGTTGTTAATAAATAATTACAACTCCCTTTTAATTAGGATAAAAACAATTTTAACTTTCTATATTTACATATTCAAACAATTTAATCAATCTTTATACTACTGTTTATGATCATCCCTAAAACTAAAATACATTTGTTGTTTTTGCAAAGCCGAAGTCCATAAGCACAAAACAAGCGAAAAGCTGAGAAGCAACTTTCATTTTCGTCTTCAGCTCTGCGTTTTAGTGAAGGCCTAAATATCTAAACAACATTTATCTTATTCTTGTAGCGGTGTTTCAAAATTCATAACAGTATTACGAAATCCATAATATTCAATGACCCTTCGTCGATCGTTATGGTCCACAGCCTTCCCTTTTACCAGTTTCAATAATACTCTCATTTTCCTTCGTCCATTTATGGGTCATACTTCATGTTCGCTCACTGGTACGAAAGTTTTATAGAAGCTTTCATTTTCTTTAAAAAGTTTTTTTTTGTTTATTATCTATGCCATTGTTGCATTTCATCAAATACTTGAACTGTATTATGTGAATAGAATCATTAAAGTATGTTTCAGTTTATTCTTATACAACTTTAATGACTACAGAGCCATCTGCCCATCTCATGATACCCGATTTGGCTACAGAATGTTCTATACAATTTGTAGCATTTTCGATGGATTGATGGGATCCATTCAAGGATTTCGATTTTACAATGCTCAAACTATTCACTCCAACCATATGGTTTGATTGATAAACTTTCAACGATGGAAAAATATAGTGTCGTTTCCTATGTGTTTATGTTTTGATTATGTTAGTGTAGGTAGGGGAAAATAATGGGGTATGAGGCTTCCCTTGTTTTGCTTACCTGCACAAATTATCATTCATTTTACAGAATATTCAAAGTTTTGAGGAGGATAAATGTCTTCTAATTTTACTTTAAATTCTTACCGGAGCAAGCGGAGTTGGTAGGAACGGGATGCATCCTCTCTTATGATAATTAAAGTTTTTTTTAATAGATATGATAATTAAAATTAAAGATAAGTGTTATCATTATCGTTATATGTGAAAGCTAACTTAATAGTTAAGAGATTTGTTGTTATCCATTTAAGTCTCAAAGGGATGAGTGTTCATTGTCAAATATTTAAGAGTTTTTGAACAGATATTACATTATATTCATCTCAGATTTATCAAACAAAAAACTATTGTTATATTTATTGAATCATTAATATATTTTGATTTATAAAATGAAAATAAATTAAATTAGTTGAATGTATAAATATGAAAAAATTAAAATTATTGTGAGTCATGTATGCTTGTCATTATTCATGTACAACTAAATCAATTATGAGGTTAATTTTTTAATAACTAATGGTTTAATTTATATTATTTAAATAATTATATGATTGCATCAATTAAGTGACCTTAGTGGTTATTGGTTAAAGAATTTGTTGTTATCTCTGAACATCTCTAGTATAAATATTTATTATCAAATGATTCTTTAAACATATATTATTTTGTGTTCATCTCAAGTTTATTAAAGAATAATTAAGTGAATTGATTGATAAAATTTATAGATAAATAAATAAAATAGAACTTTCCCTGTGTTTATTAATTATACAAGTAATTTACCTTTACATTAATCCATGATTCAATTTATTAATAAATCAGGCTGCATAAAATTTTGATTTGGGGTTGAGAACACTACCGTGGTGTTTGGTTAGTATGAATCTCTTGGAATTAGGTGGAATTGAAATCTAATTCCACCACTTTTTCATGTTTGATTCAAGTTTTCTAAGAGAATTTGAATCCTTTATGGCTTCAACTTTCCATCAAATGATGGAAAGTGAATTCCATCAGAAAATGGATGGAATTCAATTCCCTTGTTGGAGGGAATTGAAATTTGACCATACTACTCTCATCAATCTTTTGGTAACTTATTCATATATTGAATAAAAATATTTTTTTTATTATTTCGGGTCGGGTCAGGTTTCTAATTCATATATTCGGGTCGGGTCGGGTGAAACTTTATTTTGGTCGGGTCGGTTTTTTTAAGTGTGATATTCGGGTCGGGTCGAGTTCGGGTTTAGGGTGAAAATACCCGACCCGAAAATATATATAATTTTACCTTATATATTTAGGAATAATTACAATAATATCCCTCTATATATAATTTTTTTTCAATTAAGTCACTGCTTTTATTGAATAAAAATAATTTTTTTATTATTTCGGGTCGGATTTCTAATTCATATATTCGGGTCGGGTCGGGTGAAACTTTATTTTGTTCGGGTCGGTCGGGTTTTTTAAGTGTGATATTCGGGTCGAGTTCAGGTTTAGGGTGAAAAAAATGGGACCCGACCCAAAAAAATATATAATTTTACCTTATATATTTAGGAATAATTATAATAATACCCCTCTATATATAATTTTTTTCAATTAAGTCAATGTTTTTATTGAATAAAAAATGATTTTTATAATTTATTGAAACGAATAATCAATCAAAAAAATGAAAAATTTAATATTTTTAATTTTTTATAATATATTACTACATGTAAATTGTAAAACAAACTAAAATAAAGAAAAAAATAAGAAGGACAATTCTGTCATTTTACATTACTGAAATCAAATTCATCTGACATGTTTACGAACCAAACAAAATATGAAATTGAATTCCAATTCCATTTCCATTTCCTACCCACCAGACAGAATATGAAATTGGATTTCAATTCTTTCACATATTTCAATTCTTTCACATATTTCAATTCTATCGTAAACATTTTAGCGAACCAAACGTCACTTGAGAGAATTTTCCATTTCAATTATTTCCTTTGTTTTCTTAGATAAATATGGCGTCGTTTGATGTGTTCGGAATGGAAGGTGAAGAGATTCACGCTGCTCCCAATAACCATCATTTTGAAGTCGATAACGAGAGCTACTCCGATTACGGTGCTTACTCCAACTTCACCGGCAACGATCAGCAGTTTCCTATGGATGGTGGCAATGTGGTGGTAGATGACGTCAGTTCCTCTGCTGACATTTTCGGTTTCGGATCGTCCGATCCCACGCCTGCATACTCACAATCTCCTTTTGGTACTGCGATTCCTGTTGAGAACGGAAATGGAACCAATGGATTTGGTGTCCGAAACAGTGACGTTTTCACTTCTGATGGACCGGTGCTCCCTCCTCCTACTGAGATGGAACCTGAGGAAGGCTTGGTTCTTCGCGAGTGGCGGCGGTGAGTAGTAGTTACTGAATCGCTCGATTTGATGAATTTTGTTGTGTAGATTTGGCCAGATCTGCTGGTTTAGCAATGCTTCTCAGCTTAGATCCGCAGTGCTTTCGATTTGTACGCGTAAACTTTGTTTTTGCATTAGTTGAACCAAGATTTACTCTTAATACAAATTTCTTAATGATCCTTTCGGGTTTTTTATCTGCCATGGTTTTAACTATTGCGTCACCTATTGCTTTTTCGTTCCATTAACGTTAGCTATGAAAACCAGGTTCATGATCTTTCTCATTAATGGCTGAAGTTTATAGCGTTCGATTTATGTCAGTCTTAGGCTCTTAGCTCATACTCCTTCCTTAGTAATCCATGAATGTTCATCGGCTTTGACAAACGAAGTAGGGAACCTTTAGACTGTAGTTTTAGCTTTTATGATCGCATGCCATTAGCCATAGATTTTTATAATAATTGATGTAGAACATCCAGATCCACATTGAAGTTCCCAACCAGGAGACGTTTGAATAGCATATTAGCATTGGAATACTGTGTCATTTACTGATGTCATATCAGCCATAGATTCTATGGTTTGCATGTGGGCCCAAGTGTAGAAGAAATATCGAAGCTGAGAAAAATATAACAGCAATGCATAACTAAATGGGCAATAACACATTGGGTGATTGAAAAAGTAAAACAGGTGGTTGTCAAGATTTGTGCTCGAAAGCTCTAGTAGAATTTTAAAAGCTTGAGCTAGATGAACCTCTTCATTGCTTTTAGTTCTAGAGACAATGCTTTGTAATGAACTATAACATTTGCAGCAGTTATTGGTTTCTAGATCTAAATTTTCCCTTTCCCAAGTGATTTATGTCCTTTTCTTATATCGTCAAGTCTTTTTATAGCTGATGTGCATGATAGTTTAATGACATTATTGAACCCTTGGTTGTGTTTGTCTTCAAAAGATCTATGAAACATAGTAGCTTATCCTATGTCAATTCGATAGATTCATTGGCTGTTCATAAATCATGTGTTTGTGTGTTTATTACACATTTATGGATTCCATTACTTGTTAGTTGGCAGCCAAAAGGATTTATTTGTTGATATTTAATTTCTTGCTGCAGTCAAAATGCAATCGTGCTCGAGGAAAAGGAGGAGAAAGAGTTGAGAAGCCAGATTATTGAAGAAGCCGAGGAGTATAAGCAAGCATTCTATAAGAAAGGGGAAAAGACAATCGAGATCAACAAAACTAGTAACAGAGAAAGAGAAAAGGTGAACGTCTCCTATAAAACAAATTGTCATATTCATTCAAATTCATGCAATTAGTCAATAGATTCAAATAGTCGTCCCAACTCTATATTATGATTTTTAATTAATGGTTTCAACTCTGCCATCTCTATTTACCAGAAATTGACTGCAATGACATTTATTATGTCTGCAAATTTGATAAACATGATGTGATGTGTCGGATCTAAAAATAATTTTGAGCGTGGCCACACATGCATTAATACTACAAATTTTTTGTATAGGATGGACATAAATAAAATTTCAGGGTGGACACAATCAACACAATAATTAGTTAATCGAAGAAAATTAAGATTTTAAGGTGGGTACGTATCCATCCTAGATTAAGGGTGGATCCGCCAGTGGTCATGAGAAACCGACTTCAACTGCAGTTTAGATATTTGATGTTGATACTTGATATTCTGGACTTGGAACAGGTGTACTTGGCTAACCCAGAGAAGTTCCATAAGACCGCGGACAAACAGTACTGGACAGCTATTGCAGAACTCATTCCTCGTGATGTCCCTAATATCGAGAGGAAAAGAGGGAAGAAAGACAAAGAGAACAAACCCTCAATAACTGTCGTCCAGGGACCGAAGCCCCGAAAACCAACTGATCTTTCAAGAATGCGGTAAGTTATTGTGAAGCTTAAGCACGCTCCCCCACCTCACACGCTTCCGCCTCCTCCGACGAAGGACAGTAAAGATGGAAAAGATGCTGCTCCAAATGGATCTGTACCTGCAGAGCAAGTGGCAGCAGCAGAGAATGGTTCTGCCCCTGAACACGCTACGGCTACTAAGGACCAATCCGCCATAGAACCAGAAGCAACATCAACAGCGTGACTGTTTACAATACAGTTACCAAGGTTCATTCTATACCCATTCTTTCTATTTTCCTCAAGATTTCGATTCTTTATCGCATTCCATATCACCATAGTATTCTCCTCGCACGTATTTAGTGACACCGTTTGTTTGTTCTATTGAACCCTATTATTCTTATTTGGTTTTCTATATATTTCATTGAATTGGTGGTTAACATTTTGTCGTCACCGTCTTTCGGGTAGACCCTGAATTGAGCTTCGACTTGAATAATTAGGTTAGAGTCGTCACCGGTCATTTTAAAAATATTTAGGTGGATCGGGCACCATCTTATCTAATCTACATTTTACCAGAAATGTGTCAGTTCGGGAGTCGGTTACAATCAAGGAAGGATTAGCACCTTATACTGCCCTTTCGGTACCAATTAATTTGTCGGTTATCTTAATTGCGAAAATTGAAATTTAAATTAAAACTTAAAGATTCAATTCAAATTAATTACTTTCAAAATTAAAAAATGTTAGATAATAAATAATAAATAAATATTAAATAAATCAAAGAATAAAATAAAATAAAATAAGAAAATTAATTACCTTTCGAAGAGCCAATGCAGCAGCCAGTAATTGACAAAGTTGTTTTACCTTATGGATATATCAAATCTTAATTACAAGATCATTTACTCATATATGCTTTCCACCACGCAGTTATCGAATATGTGTGTGGTTCTGGGATTAGGACCGTGAGATATCACGCATGTATAATCCTCGGACAGCTCCATTTCAGTAACGGGAAGATCCTTCGTTTGGATACCAGAACCAGGGGACCCGAATGTTGGAGATAAATATGAATTCCTGGTCTTGATTCCAAAATCAGTAGGTGCGAGTGGAGGAATCTGGACTCTGGGTTCTGTCCCAAACAAGACCTTTCTTTTGTTTGGCTCGCAGGATCTGTTGTCTTCACTTCGGTAAATCATAGTGCGGCAATGCTGGGTGAGGGAGCTGAACTTCGGCAGTCTACCTTTTGTTGCACGATCACCATATGCCATCGGGTTGCCATGATAGGATCAGAGTATTTGGAAACCCAGCGCACCATTACTGTTCCGACTGCCATGCTCTGAGCAGCAAGGAGCATCCACCACTATCCACTTCCCCATAGTGAAAAGTTACTATCATCAAAATCAAGTGCTGGTGCCTAGCAGTCAACAACTCCTAAAATGGTCCAAAAATTTCTGAACATTTTTGTTGCTTGAGGTTCATACGCAAACAAGGCCATCCTTTCATGATTGAAAGTTAATCCAGAGGTTTTGATCGAGTTCCTCCCCAGTAAAATGTCGGCCGGTTTGCCTCCACCAAAAACGTGGTGAACGGGCTTTTCTCTTCCAAAGAGACGAAACAGCTTGGCTTTAATCGAAGATTCTGATTGCTTATCTTCATCGGAGTCCGACGACGATGAATCGTGGCCGTGGATCTTGTCTGCAATCTTGTCAATGAGCAATTCCTCGTGCTTCTTCTCTTCGTGCTCTGCCATTTTCTTTTCTTTTTCCACACAAATTCAAAGAAAACCCCAACAACTCGCTTTGAAATGTTTTGAAGATTGAAAGAAAAACTGAAAAACAAAAATCGGAGAAGAGTAATTGGAGTCTTCTTTGACTTGTTTCTTTGAGGCTCGTATCGATTTTTTGGGCTACACAGAGCGTGGGTGTGCACGTTAGAGGGGGAAGGAGAAGATGGTGATGAAGGTAACGATTTGCTGGATCACTCTCGATCTTAACATAAGCCATGGATGAACTAAAGCTTTTGAGTAGAAGAATCTATGGGAATTGCCATGAGCATATTTTTGGAGTGGAGGAATCAAGAAAGCGAGGAATACCCATTAACCGGATGCCCCTTGTTGTTTTGATTCCGTGTGATTATATGGGAGGACGACCGGGAGAATAAACCTTGTAAATCTCACTTTCTATCAGTTCTTTTGGTTTGGAAGGTTGTGGGTGGGGGTAGTGGTGAGATACGTGAGGGTTTAACATGGAGTCTATAAAAATAAAAAATAAAAAAATAAAATAATAATAATATATAATATATTTTTTTTATAGTTCCGGACAAAAATAGGTATTTACTCATTTCAAAACATCACTTTATCTTTATTTAACTTTGCCGACTTATTGTGGTGTTTGTGCAATTCCCTGCCTTTTTAGGTCTCTTAAGTGGTTCAGTTAATTCGGTTTTTGTGATCAAGTCAGCTTTGTCGTTCAATTATTGAAATTCATAATTGAGTCAATTAATTCCGAGCAATGTACGAGATGATTATGAAAGTCGTCCGATTAGATTAATGTATGAGATGATGATTGGTTAGATCGATTAATTTCGAGAACAGACTTAATTGTTTGATCACCTGTCAAAAACATTGGTTGCTCCGACTATATTAAGATCTCTTCACACACAAAAACAGAGATATGGTGTTCTTCAGCACTATAAATGTACGAATAATTGAGAAACAAGATTTGGGATATGGATGTGACAGCTCATATCCTACTACGACATGAAATCTCGAGTTGAAAAAGTTGGGTTATTTATAACTTCAGATCTTACTTTGAAGTTGTTCTTTTAGGGTGAACTACACGCGCCTATCACCTTTCCACTTAATAATTTAAACACAAATTAATTCTGTTCAGTTGAAGATAAATGAAAAAAAAAATTGCCGTTTATATTTAGATATGAATTTACTAGTTGGATATATATATATATCTTATAAAATTTGATCCCAATCCGGTTTTCTAAAAGAAATATTTTTTTTAAAAGAAGAAGAGAAATTTAAGAGAGGTAAATCGGGTGAGGATATGCTAAGCGATAACTCTTCATTTGTATTATTGCGATATCGAAATAGATGATCTGTTGCTGTGGTAGTGGTTACCACGACAATCTTTTTTAAAGCATGTTCTTCGTTTCATTTGTTCCGTTTTTAGCATGAAAATTTCGCATCTTTCCTGGTTTTATTGGCATCCAAACAAAAGAGCAAGATCCGTATCCTTTCCCTCTTTAGACGATGGATGAATTCCCGTCTGTTCTTCAAAAAGAATGCTAGTGTTGTCAATTCAAAGTAATTATTGTTGATTTGGACTACTGTACGAGGCATTATTATTAAAAAGGTTTCTCATGATAAATCAACTTGCTTTCATCAACTGAAACAAAAGTTCAAGAGAGTGAGTATAGTTTGTATACATACTTTTTACAATATTGGTGAAGGTACACAAGTTGAAGATTAGCAATACATAACATAGCTAAACAGTACAAACATGCATAATTTTTAATGTTGTCAAGGTTATACCGATGGTCTCTGAAACGAGATTCAAACCACTCTCACATGACTATTCCACCATACAATTCATAGTACAATACAAGGAACACTCGTGTGTCCATCAGCAAGCGTCGGCAATAAAAAAATCAAATAAAATTCATAAGATTACTGAGAATCTCCACTGTGTTTATATCGGGGATTCTAAATGAAGAGAGACAAAGCTGACCGGACTTCAACCACGTACATCTCACGCTCCCTTCTTCTTTTGGTCTTTAGGTGGTTCCTTTGTAAGCATTCTCGGAGCAATTGCCATTGCCATTAGCTCTTGGAAAAGCAGTTTACAGGCATAAGGAATGTGCACCTGTAAGCATAATTGTTATTACCATGATTCCCGATAACGAAAACATTAGCACATGTATGTTCAAGCTTTGACTTCAACAAGCGTGTAATGGAACAAGGGAAAGAAAAGGGCTACCTGAACAATATCGGTTTTATTCTTGCATCCTCTGCACTCGAACGAATTTTTCTTTAGATTGGCGATGGCGATCAACCCACACCGCTCACAAACGTGGACTCTGTATGCATCACTTTGGTCAAACAATCTCTCCTTGAGGAAATGGGCAGCACCATGTGCAATCATGCAATCTCTTTCCATCTCTCCGAAACGAAGACCACCGTCACGCGATCGTCCTTCTGCAGGCTGCCTTGTTAGAATCTGGACAGGACCCCGACCACGCGAATGAATCTTATCGTCGACCATGTGCTTTAGTCTTTGGTAATATGTTGGCCCCAAGAATATCATAGCAGTAAGCCGCCTGCCTGTGTGCCCATTATACATGGTCTCAAAACCACGCATTTGATACCCACATTTATGAAGTGCTCTGCTGATATTATCCACCTATAACATCAAAACGAAAGGATTAAAATGAAACTATAGTAGTCCCCACCATGAATAGTCCCAAAGCAGGTATAAGCGTTTAATATAAGTCCAAGAACATCAAAGAAACTTGATTCAAGAAAACATCTAATTAATCAAAACAAAAAAAATTAAGGATTGCAACTTACAGTGACATCAGTAAACGGAGTAGCATCCCCTTCCTTGCCCATGTGAGCTGCAACTTTCCCCATGATACACTCAATAAGCTGACCGATTGTCATTCGGGAAGGAATAGCATGTGGATTCACAATGATATCAGGTGAGATGCCTTCCACAGTCCAAGGCATGTCTTCCTGGGTATAAGTCATGCCAATCGTTCCCTTTTGACCATGCCGACTGCTAAACTTGTCTCCAATCTGGGGAATCCGTACGGATCTTACTCTTACTTTCACAAATCGCAACCCATCAGCATTTGTTGTCAGTAGAACCTAAACAAGAATAGAAACAGTCAGCACAATGACAAGATCATGAAAGCACAAGCACCTAATCCATTTGCACGGATTAACATTGTGACAGAAGTGAGTGCAATAACATCAACTAAAAACTATTAGTAACAAGAAGTTCAAAAGTATTTACTTGGTCCACTATTCCTGTTTCACTGTGACGTAAGCTTATACTGTGATCACGTTTTGAATAGCGTGATGCTTGACCCTGTGCTTCCTCCTGTGAAATAGGTGTGGTCTTTCCAATGATTACGTCCTCACCTGAAACTCTTGTTCCCTAACAGACAACAATAATTTAATTTCAGGAAGGAGTGGACTAAGTTAACTAATTTTGTAGGATAATGCAATGAACATAGCAGCATGCTAATTTTGCACTTACAGGAGGTGCAAGACCATCGTCATCCAATTTATCATAAGAGCCATGCCTCATTCCCTGCAAAAAGAAAATTGTGTCATATGGCAACACTCAAAAGTGACAAACAAGTGGAAATCCATTTCTCACGCCAAAACCCTTTTCCTATTGGTTTCACATTTGAACCATTCGCTTTTTTAAATCAAATTACTAGTATTTAGTTTTATATTATAGCAATTTTTGAATAAGCAAAAAGCATCAAAATAGTGAAGCCATGCTCAATTCTCACCATAGTAGTAGCCCTATCTGGTCGGCCAAAATCTTCTTTGACTAGGGTCCCCATTTTTTTCTCCTCATCACTGCAAAGTACAAAAACAAACATTAATCTGGAGTAAGGAGAAGCTCAAGTATGGGATGCAGAAGATGCGTATCTTCAAAATAAGTAGCAAAAGGAGTTATCAAGAGAATCTTACCGGTAAGAACGGAAGAAAAGTGATCGGAAGAACCCTCGGTCTATTGATGATTGATTCATAATAACAGAATCTTCTTGGTTGTATCCAGAATAGCAGGCAATTGCCACAATAGCATTCTGAGGAAAAGAGGTAAAGAAACAATAGTAAGGGTTTAGAAGAAATTGACGTAACTATGGAAATTGATAATAGAAAGTTCAGCTTTACTATGCCAGCAGGTAGCTGCCGAAAATGGAGATGTTCCATAGCTCGTGTAGTAACCAGTGGCTTCTGGGGATAGTAGAGAACATAGGCCAATGTATCCTGAGTAACAAATGGAAGGATAAATCAAGATTTTTCCAAGGAATTACACAGTTATAATAGTTTATGTAAATAGGAAGCAATACATACCATTCGAAATTGATAGTTGGTGACATATATACCCATTGCTTGCTTACCCATAGCAGATTGATAGGTATTACGTGGGGACTGATATAATGAATAATAAATAAGTAAAATAGAACAAAAATCTAAACAAATGCAATCAGTTAACGTTCATCATAAGAATAAGAATACCTGATTATGATCAGGGAATGGTATAATTGAAGCACAAACACCCAAAATCAACGAAGGATGGATTTCACAATGGGTATAAGTTTCCGAATAAGCTTCCTCTGGATTGACTCTTGCTTGGACAAGATCCTGGAACAAAGTTCAAACAGTTATATTTCTGATATTGCCTTATAGCCTCCATAGAAGCTAAGGTGCATTTACAATTTACTATTATTCCAGATTTTGACCAATAAGACTTGTTTCTCACATTGATGGTCATGGAAATCATTGTTGTCTCCTCTTCTTCAGTGTCAATATATTCAATAAATCCCTTAGCTACAAGATCATGCCAACCACCTTCTTCTGGGCTTTCCTGAAAGAAGAAAACCAATGAGATAAAGCTGCGTTTGATAAATATGGAAGGTTACAAGTGACTCACCCTTTGTTGCAGTGCATGGATATCTTTCTTTTTTATTAGAAGCCTTTGCTTCTCGACAATGAACAACGGCCGACTGCAACGACCATAGTCTGTATATATTCTAAGTTCTTTTAAACGAATATCTCGAACAACACCAACTTCAGTGTTGACATCAACCTACATACAAAAATCCATCATTAACCAAACAAATAAACAGCCTCTGTTTCTCAAACACAGAAAATGGGGATGATACCAATGTCGACTTATGTTATTCAGACTTGAGTGTAAGTACACGGGTATGGCTATATTTTTCTAACTTTTTCTATATATTTAGAGGACCTTGGAAGTCATATCCCCGTATCCAAGTGTTGGGAGTGTCGGACACAAGTGCTTCATGAAAAATGGCGGGAGGAAAAGTGGAACCAAACCAGAGGAAGAAAAAGGAGAGAAGAATGGTGGGAGGAAAGAGTCTGATAAAATCTCAAACACAGAGAAATAAAATAACGTGTACAAGAAAGTTCAAAAAATTAAAAGAGAAAAATACTTAAAAAGAGCATCAGGGATCAGACCTTAATATCAATATCAATTAGTCTTCAATTGGGTTTGAAGGCCCATATAAACCAAATGATAAATATTTCTAAAGTCATTTATACTCGATCATGTTTTTAAAAATTATAAAAATATTGTTTATATAATATATTAATGTATTATATATTTTTTTTATAAGAATTGAAGGCCTCATTAAAAAACCCCTTCTTGATTAAAGTAGCTTGTAAGAGAGCTACTTAATCAGAGGAAGGAGGAAAAGAGTGCCTTAGGATCTCATTGAACAACAAAAGATACATAATATACATCCTTTAGAACAACCGAAAACAACACAGAACACCATAAAACAGCCATACAGAACCTAACACAGAAACACTAAAGAATACTAAACCGAACTGCCTCAACAAGTGAACCCTAAAACCAAACTCGCAAAACCATTACAGAAAGAAAGCCCCTAAATAACTCAAAGAAAACAAGAAACCTAACATATTAATGTATTATATAGATTATATTTAAATTCATATAAACATTAATATATACAAAATATTAATGTATTAATGTACCCGTCTTCTCAACCGTCTCAACGTTGTTACAAGCATATCAGGATTCCGATGCACACCAACCCAACAACCATTGACAAAAATTTTTGTAGCTTGAGGAATAACTGCAGGAGAAATTTCCTGAAAATTGAAAGAAAAAAGTCAATCTAGGTAAAATAATAAGGAAATAAAATAAGAGGTATGAATTCAATAGAAAATTATGATAAGTATGTACCTCAAAATTCTCTGTACCCCATTCTTCCAAAAATTCAAGAATAGGGTACGCAGCTGATCCAACAGTAATGTAGACCATCAAGGCGAGATTCTTTACAAGTCCACAGGCCTGATGCATCCACCAACCACAATTATGATTGAAACATGGTGAGAAGGGATTGTTATTCAACAAATGAATCTTGAGGTTTAATTAAATGCAAGATACCCACCTGTCCTTCTGGTGTTTCAGCTGGGCACATCATTCCCCACTGGGAATTATGCAACTGACGTGGCTTTGCCAATTTTCCTGATAAACAAAAGCTTAATTAGCTAAAGACCACAAAAAAACATCATTAAATGAGGTTCATCAATGCATGTTGAAGTAAGCAGGGAAAATGAATAATACAGCAGGAATAGTGTTACCTTCACGTCCTATAGGAGAATTGAGCCTACGCAAGTGCGACAAAGTGGAGGCATACGTCAAACGGTTCAACACCTAGAAAGAACACACATAGCATCATGAGGACTTCCAATTGGGGAGGGATATGTGGTGGAGTTATAGGTATTTTATGCTATGGCATAAATCGTAGGGTGGGGAAAATTCAGTATAAACCCACTTTAAAGAAAACAATTAACTCTAACCTGCGACACTCCAGCTCTTGTACCAGCTGCATTTGCTTGCCCCCAATTTCCAGTAGCGAGTGAGTATTTAAGACCACTTGTAATAGTTTTTGCTTTGATAGCAAATTGCAGGTTCACATCCTTCCCGTTATCCACACACTATCATCCAGCAATAAAATCCTTAAGCACAAACACAGAAAAAATAAAAGCCAAAATACAGTGAGATCTAGAAAACAATGAAAGAACCTTCTGCACATAAGATCTCACATCCCTGGTTAACTTCCGAAAAAGCTGCAGCAGTAGAAATCACAACCAAAGATCAGATAGCAAATCAAAATAATGAGCATGGAGCATTTTGAAATCTATCAAACTAAAAGCGAACCATCCTAAAGAGGCCTCCAAGTAAAGGACCAGCAAGGTCCAGCCTCTTGTTGCCATAATGATCTCTATCATCTTCGGCCCTCCGGCCAAGTGCACAAAGAAGCAGCCGGTGAATGATATACCTGCAAAAAAAAAAATGAATCATAATACAATAACACAATCAAAGCAATTTCCAAATACCTACCCAAAATAATAAGCTTTCTTTGTCTCGCAAAACTCCCCAATACCAACGTGAGGAAGCATTTCCTTTTGAAGGATCTCTTTAGCATACCTGTAAGGAAGATGCTCAGAAGCTTCTCATGAGCGTTACAAACATTCACATTAAACATTTCATCACCCAAGAAAATTTGCTAACACAGCACATACTTAATCCTCTTCTCTCTGGTAACACCAACAGTAGCTCCTCTTTTACCAATATAATCTAAAGCAACCTGAGGTTAAGGAATAGCAACATTGGCAAGGTTCAATAAGGTAAACCACATGAAAACACAAACAGGAGAAATCCTTAACATCACAAGAGTGTCATTCATGATCTGGTTTTAACCATCTCATAGTCATTACACTCAACTCTTCGGGAGGATGGACTGGAAAAGTGCAACTTGGATAAACATAAATATCTAGGTGGTGCTAGAAATGACCAATATGCAGAACAAGCTCAGACAGGATGAGTGGGAGCAACAATAGCACTCACTGTAATTGACCTTTCAACCCAGCAGCACCTCAAGTCAGAACTCTGAAAGAAATAGGAAGAAGAAAAGAACCTGCTGGTTTTGAATCACAAATGCTTCTTCTAAGGAAGGTCGAAGCAGTTCCATCATCTGGGTATCAGAGAAGTCATAACATATATGCTCTAATATGTCCTTATCAGCAACAAATCCCAAAGCCCGGAATACAATAATGATAGGAATTTCAGTTCGAATATATGGAAGAGTAGCACGAATGTACTGCCCTGAAGAGCCCTGCAGTTTGTGCATGAAACCAACAAAACTGTAAAATCATTCACTTCCATAACAAGCTAACTCATTGAATGATTGAATGATAGAGAAAAGCATCCAAAAGTTAGAAGTAATTATCTTTACCCCTTTGGCACTGGTCCGTGAAAGCATCCGCACAAACATGGTACTTGGTGGCCTGTTCTGGGAGTCCGCCATGGACCGAACTTCTGCCACATAGGCATACTTGTTTGGCTGCCTCTTTTTGAAGACATAGACATGATTTGTACTCATCTTCTCTTGGGCAATTAGAACTTTTTCACTCCCATTGATAATGAAATACCCACCTTGATCTAATGGACACTCCCCAAGCTCAGTCAGATCCTTCTCTGAATTTTGATATAGTGTGCAATAACTCGAACGAAGCATTATAGGCACCTAATAACATGCAGAATATGGAAAAAGAGGGTCAATGTTAAAAGTTAAATTCATCCATTCACGACTAGAAAGTCCAGTAACCAGACCTTCCCAATGAACACTTTGGTAAAATCTTGAGTCTCAGTGATTTCTTCACCATCATGCCCTTTCTTTATAACTCTTTTAGTTACATCCACATACAATGGAGCAGAGTAAGTAAGATTCCTCAACCTTGCAGCTTTTGGGAATAAAGTTGCAGTTTCACCATCCGACTCAGTCATCATAGGTTTACTTAGGTAGATCTGACCAAAGTTAATCTTATAGATAGTCTGCAAGTAAGCACTAGTATTTAGAAACCCAAACAAAAGAAAAAACTAACTTCAGAAACAAAAACTTCAAGTCTTTGAGCTTGATTAGACCCCTATAAAGTCAAGGGACTAACTGCTAAGCAATCAATCAAGGAAGTAAATATATATTGAAAAACATATCCACAATGGAAAAAATAAATAAGAGATTAGAATTCAAAGACTTTGAATATTCATTTCTAGTTTTTCTCTTTATTGAAGAAATCTCCATAATCAGTTTCAAGATTGCTTCCCTTAAATTTTTAACTGATTTCTGAAGCTAAATTAATAAGATTTAACCGCATACAAATGTGAAATTAATAAAATTTAAAATTAACTTTGAATAAATGACACAATTAATTATCACAGTTCCTAAACTATAATTTTCTCGTTCCTTTAAGAAATTCATCCCCAAAAAAAAAACAATTTAACCTAACAATAAAATTACAATAGAAACTAACTCCAAAACTAGAAATTGAAATTCTTACATTCCTTAAAGCTAACGGGTTCAAGATCAAAACTATTCTTGGCAAGAGGTACGGATTGGTCAATCAAGAGGGCCAAGGTTAAATCTCTACCCTATATTATCTTTTGTCTTGCATGGAATTCGCATTTTTATATGATTTTTCAGGAGCGCTATAGGAGGATGCAGGGTAAAGTGAGCAGAAAACCAATGAATATATATATATATGCAGTTTTAGACTGACTTCTTTTAGAAACCTTTCAGACCAATTAAATACTTACATGATTGTTAACTGGGGGATTGGAACCTGACTATAGTTTTGCAATTACAGGGAGAGTTTGTAACCATCCATCATTCATATTAAACAAACTTTGCTTATCTATCCATCTATTTGAATCTATACTAATATTAAATACTTGTTTGAGTTTGGTGTCACAAAGTCGATCATTGAATTTAACAAAAACATACTACTCTCTAAAAAACACTCAAAATCAAATAATTATATACAAAAGTAATTATAATTAGGAGTGAGCAAATTACGAACCCGCTAGGAAAAAAATGAACTTCCAGTTAGTTTAGTTTGTTCCCACTATTTTCTTTTCTTTTATTTAATTATTTTCACTATTATTACCTCGCTCCTATTTTCACTCTTAAAATTTTTAAACTTTATTGCAACTATATAATTATTTTCTATTAAAAAATTAACTCTTCATCCGCTCTAGTTTTGGACAAATAAAGTTCACTTATGCAAAGAAATTTTAAAAAGAAAATTTTCCGTTACTTTAGAAGAAAATAATGAAAAAGGACCTCAGCGAAGTCAGATTGGTGACCAGGATTGTGCTGTGACTCGGGCCTGATCTCGATTTCGGCGGACTCGTCAACAATTTCTTGCATCGTGTTTTGGATAAACTCATCGAACGAGTCGAGCTGTTGACGCACCAAACCTTTTTCTTCAAAATAAGCAGAGATGACCGTCCACGCATCTTCCTGCGTGATCTCCTCGTCTTCTTCGTCATCGATTAGTTGAGGATCATACTCGCTGTCGTCTTCCATAGCTAGGTGTTCTTCAAGGTACTCTTTGGCTCAGGGATTTGATTACTTTAGTTAAAGGGAAAAAGGATTTGAAAGTAAAACCCTAGCTGAGAGCGTGAGAAATAGAAAACCAAAGAGAAAGGCGGTGAAAGTAAAATGATTATATTTTAATAATTCTGTAAGACATAAAAAAGTAGTATAGGTTTAAATCTGAAATTAAAAAATGAGTGAATGATAGTTATTTTGCCTTTTTAACATACAGAGACCAATTTACTAGTTTTTATGTAGAGGGATTAAAATATAATCTGGAACATAGTATAGGGGTTTTTCTGATTCTTTTACCGGTTATTTAGCGGATATAAAAGTAATTCTCTAAAACAATGCTGTTTATTTATTTAGAAATATTTTGGATGATAGAATCATTTAGTGTTATACATTTCTTATTTGTAGATCAAACATGTTGACTGTTTAAATATATTTAATTTTATGTTTTTCGTGTATTATACTAATAACATATTAATCGAATTAAACTAACTAAATTGGAGGCAACTGCGCATACTCTGCAGTGCTATTTCCCAGTGTGTGTGTTTTGATTTGTGGAAACGTGTTAACCATGCTAGTGTTGCCACGCGCTATTTCTTTAGTAAAACAAAAATGGAAACTAAAAGCTTACAATAAAGCCATGAACTGATTTTTCTTTAATGCGAGACAACGAAGCAATTCAAGTGAACCGAGTCCACTCATGTGGTTCTCGATGTTCAATGGACAATCTAAAAGGCTTTGCTCTATACTAGTGTGGTCCAGTGTTTCCCCTAATATGCTTTTCTTTCTTTCTCATCATTGAATTTGTATACGTAATCTCGTTTGTCCATCAAATAATAAGATGATAAATACAATTTATTTTCACTGGAATTCATTTTTAAGTTATTAAATATTTAATTTTACCTGATTTAAACCCACGTAATCAGTTTTTTAATAACAAGAGTGATTAGTAATTGATCCCGATTTTTACTCACAAGCAATTGCATATCATTTCTTCTTGGTTGTCTTTTAGCTTTCGATAGTTTTTTCCATCAATGTCTGGAACTATGTTAACGGAATGTTGAGTTCTAAATCTATGTTTAGTCATATTTTTTTCAAACAAGTCTAGTTCATTCCACTAAACAAAATCGTACTAAAAAACTGAACCAAATTAATGCAGAAAATAAACTCTACAAATACCACTGTAAGTAAGGATGGATTGAGGGGTCGGGACAGTCGCCCTCCTAAAAATTTCACATTATCATATATTTTAAATTTTTTCTTGATATTTTCTATTAATAATCTATTTTCGACCACTATAATTTTATAAATCCGCTCCTTTTAAAATTTTTAATGTTAGTTCACTAGCATAAAATTAAAATTCTACATCCGTCCTTTTCATCGGTGATTAATGATAAGCATTATTGAAAGATATCTTGATTGTTTAGTCAAAACCCTCAATAATCAAAAAGTTATTTATTTATTATTATTATTTCTTTTTTTGTGTTTGAGTGTCATTTTAGTCTTGAGATTTTCTCTCTATATCTTTAAGAGTCTTGGATGTGGTTATGAGAGGGAGAACACGACCATAGATCGTCCAATTTCGATTCTCCCAATGACATAATACCAATTAAATTTTTGCGGCTTTTTGTCCTAATGCAATCAGGATGAACCACATGATAGCTAGTAAGTCAAACGATCTAAGCATTGTGTTCTCCCTCTCCGAAGTTCTCCTGAAACCCTATTAAGGGTCAAAAGGCCAAATTTTGGGGCTAAAACGTCAAACAAATACCATAAGAAAATAATACATTTTTATTGTAAAATTTTTAATTAAATAATCGAAAAATCTGTCAACAACCACTATTAACACTAAGGTAGTAACAGACAATGGCAGAGGCACTTAAGTTAGGATGAATCCATCTTATAATTCTCTTTAATTAGTAGTTTATTTTATTAATTGTGTCAATCTTAAAATTTTATTTATGTTAATAACATACAAAATTTTGTGTGATTTATTTATATGTATACGTCTTAAAAAATATTTATAAATCCGTTACTAATAATAAAATATGATAATACGTTATCAACAAATTTTATCGATAATTCAAGCATAACATATTTGAAGGGACTATAATCACCTATCAAGATAAAAAAAATTAATTCAAATATTTAAAATAAAAGTAGATCAACAATTTAATTAAATAATTACATATTTGTAAGTATTTATGTTTGCCACTCGATGGGAAAATGTTTAAATTATGGTTGTCACCTTGTTTTCCATGAAGTGAACTAATAATAATGCCAAAACCTATCTTTCAAACAAACTGTTTCTAGTGAAACAAAACTGATTCAATTGGTCAGAGTAAAACGTAAAGATCCAAACGTATCTGAACGCGTAGGGCAAGAACATGTGATTCACAATTCACACACGTATCTAAAGCCAACAGCGATTCCGAGTTGATTCAATTTCAGCTCCCTTTTGCCTATAAATATATGGGATAAACTTCATGTTCCATAGTTCAAACTCACAAGCAAATCCTATATCTTTTCATCTTAATCATCTTTGCTTTGAATTATAATTGATTTCCCCCCCCCCATCAATGGCTGCAACTAAGACTAATGAAATGTTCGGTTCTAAATCATTGATTTCTAATAATCACTTTCTTTCCCATTCAACCTCGTTGTTGAAGTCACGGGAGAGGAGGACAGTGCAAGTGAGGAAGGTGGTGACGGCTGTTGCAGCTGTTCCCATAATGACAAAGCTCATCGAGCTTGATTCCGTCAGGGCTATCCCCGAAAGTCCGGTGCAGTTCACCGTGTCGGGTCGGGTAACAGTGGGGTACGATGCGAAGGAGAAGATGAAGGAGTTGATGTTTCAGTGGTGGGATTCTTCTAAAACCGCCAATGATGCTGAGAGAGGTGTTTCTCTTCAGCTTGTTAGCACTGATGTTGACCCAAGTAAGCATTGATTCTTGTAAAGTAAGCATATATGTATTTGATATGTAATGGCTAATATGTTTGGAAATGATGAATGAAGGGACGGGAAAGCCAAAGGTGAGCAAGGAAGCCATAATAGAGTGGTCCAGAGATTTGAACATAAGTGGCGATAAATTCATCACACACAACGTTGAATTTGTGGTGGATGTAAACTTCGGGGTTCCCGGAGCTATTCTCGTCACCAACACAAATCAAAAGGAGTTGTTTTTAAAGAGCGTAACCATTGAAGATTCTCTTCATTTCGACTGTGAATCTTGGATTCAACCACAGAAGCTTCAGTCGGAGAAAAGAATCTTCTTTTCTAATCAGGTTAAAATCTTTATCAATTTTGCTTATAAGAATGTGAAATAATGGTGAAATGGCATTAACTGAGTTGCCTAATTTTGCAGGCATTTTTACCAAGCGAAACGCCAATGGGACTAAGAGAGTTGAGGAAGAAAGAGTTGAGGGAACTGAGGGGCAACGGAGAGGGCGTTAGGGTTTCATCGGATCGAGTTTATGATTACGATGTTTACAATGATTTGGGACACCCTGGTAAAGGAACCAAATTTGAAAGGCCAGTTTTAGGAGGAGAACGGCGACCTTATCCTAGACGATGCCGTACCGGACGTCCTTCCACTGAATCAGGTGAGTTTAACTTCATTATTCTTTCCATAAATGTTAAATTTTATGTATGAAGCAATTTATGGTGGTTTCCATGAAAAATGGCACAGATCCCAAGTCGGAAGCTCAGGCAGACGAGTCCATGCCGATGTATGTACCGAGAGACGACGCATAGGAGACGTGAAAAGACAGACAGTGGATGCAGGAAGCCGGAAAGCAATGATGAACAATCTTTTCCCTTTCTTTAAACATTCAACAGAAGGAGAGGAGGCAGTAAATTCCTTCTCGGATATCAATAATCTCTACAAAGAATGCCGAAACCATTCGCATCTCAACAAGATGATCAAAGAATCGACGGCCGACGCTTTCAAATTTGACCCTCCAAACATCGTCTCCAGTAAGAGCTTTTCTTCAACTCAGGAATATGATATGTTTATACATACGAAAGAGATTAAGAAAATGAGGGTATGGGAATATTTGCAGGAGATGCTTCATGTTGTTTGCGAGACGATGAATTTGGTCGGCTAATGCTCGCCGGAATGAATCCCTTATGCATCGAGAGGCTCGAGGTTTTTCCGCCGGTAAGCAAACTGGAAGCCTCCGTTTATGGTCCACAAGAGTCTGCTTTGAGAAAACAACGCATCATCTATCATCTTGATGGGATGTCTGTACCACAGGTAAAATGAAAGAAATGACTTGACTTGTTCGATTTTGCAAGTTGCCATTGTTACTACGTACGAAATATTTGTCATTTTCACGAAATGAATTGGGTAAAAGACACTTTAGGTCATCCAATTATTTGAACTATTGCAGGCAATTGAAAAGAAAAAACTGTATATATTGGACTATCACGATGCTTACCTTACATTCCTCAACAGCATTAATGCTCACCCTGATCGAAAAGCCTATGCAACTCGGACGATTTTCTTCTTGACTCAGTTGGGAACATTGAAGCCGATCGCTATCGAGCTCAGCCTACCGCCGATGAACCCTTACACTCCTACGAAGCAAGTGATTACGCCTCCGGTTGATGCCACTACTTGCTGGCAATTAGCTAAAGCCCATGTTTGCTCCAACGATTCCGGAGTTCATGAATTGATTCAGCATTTTTTTTTTTGAATAATTCAAAAATTTATTACCCAAAATAGCAATGTTGCTACAACCAATCAACCAATGATACAACAAAAAAAACTATGAACATACAAGACAAACAAAAGATTGGTTAGGTTATATTCCAAACACTACAAAGAGTAAGGTTAATACTATCGTGTCTATTAATGGATTTACCCCTTAGACGAATGCCTACAACATCCTTGATTTCTTTGAGCAAGGCTTCAACATTTCTTCGACGTCCCAAGAATATTCTGCTGTTACGTTCTTGCCACAGAAAATAAGTGAGA